GCTTTTTGATAGTACTAGAGTTCTGGCCTATTTCCTACCATGCAGCTGGTCTTGGGAATTAATGGAGAACCAGCTCCTCCCTGACCCATAATCATGTAACAATGATACACCACAGCACTCTTCTCAACACTACTATCACATCTGTAAACTGTTTCTACCCCAGTATACACCCGTTTGTACCCTAAATTCCCAACCCCCTTTTGTTGTCCGTAGGATATCAGACCGTGCATGACCACATCACTAACCACATGCACCAATTACCTTGTGAGCTCCCAAATCATCCCGTCAACGATTGGACTTTTGACGCTACACCYATCAACATCATCAAAGCCCAAACTCAACGCCTCCTATGGCACCAACGCCTTGGGCACATCAACGATTATTACTTGTACAACGCTCACAAGTTCATTGATGGCATCCCAAAATTTAAACACAACGACCCGATCCTCGATAAATGCCCTACATGCATACAATCCAAACAAACAAARACGCCAGCTGGTCCTAACACAACACGCACAGCGGAACACCCCTTTCAAGGTCTCTCAATTGATTTCTCCTTCAGTGGTACTAAATCAAAAGACACCGCCTGTACGCAAGATTACGAGGGAATAAATGGCGAAACAGGTTGGATTCTTATCTCTGATCACTTCACTCCTTTCTTAACAGGCGACACGCGACTCTCAAAAGCGTCACCCATCACTTGGCTTCAGAAGTTCCTCGAAACTAACGCCCCAAACTGTTCTGACAAATACGTCCAAATGGACCAACGTGGAGAACTTTACCATAATCCCGAAGTACGAAAATTATTTACTTGCCATGGTTATCAGCTCCGCCCGACCGGCGCTGACTCCTCACACCAAAATGGCCCTGTTGAACGTGCACATCAAACAGTCTGTGATCGCATTYGATGCCTTTTATCAGGTGCTTGGCTCCCTATTAAATTTTGGCCATATGCTTTTCATCATGCTCTTCGCATTTTAAACGCAATCCCTCAACGTACGCAAACCCAATCACCTCTCCAACTCGTCACGGGAAAGAAAGAAAACCTACGCAACTTCAAAACCTTTGGCTGTCGCTTTTGGGTTCGCCCACCTGGTCAAAGATCTGCAAAATTCAAGAATAACTCTCAAAAAGGAATCTTCCTTGGCTACCTACCTCAAACCACAAAGAACATTTTGTGGTATGATATAGAAACCGATTGTGTTAAAATTGCTTCTCATGCTGGCTTCGACAAAGGCATGAATGATCTCCCCATCGATGCTATTCCCCCAAATATCATCCACTTACAACGCTCTGAAAACAGATCACCAATACCACCTGATGATTCTGAAATTGAAGATATCGACCTGAACTTTCACATCTCTCCATTTCAAGACATCACGACGAAAGAAATCAAAGTCAAATGCAACAGCCCAACCTTTGGTCTCCAACTTGACCAAGACAAATTAAACAGCTGAGTCTTTCTCAAAGATGTCACAAAGAAATCAAGTGCTGCATCAATGTTCTCCAATTGGAAAGCGACGCGAAATAAAGTTTGTGGTGCATACATCGTATCCATCAATAATCAACCAGTCTTTGACAAACAATCTGCTCTAAATATCCTCGAATCCTTAGTGGCGAAAGAAACAACAGAATTTGAGATCAAATTTGCCCCTGTTGCAAAAGCATCAAGCGTTCGCAGATGGAAAGAGGTTGATKAATATAATTTACATGCACCAACTGATAAATTCAATACGACGGCACAAATAAATCATGCTGCTCTTCAAGCGATCACCGCAATACAAACAGGTACCCATATTCCTCCCAATATTGTTTCTGATGAAATGATTCGACTGGTCATCAATGCCCTTACTTCGCAAACCACAACAAAAGAAGAAGAAGCTCTTGGTCACTTCACACGTCGAAAACTTAAACGACTTGATAACTGGAATGAATGGCTACATGCGGAACGCAAACAATTGAATCAATTTCACGATCTTGAGATGTACGGAAAACCRACCCCTCGCCCTCTGAAATCGATCCTACTTCGACCTCACTGGCAATATCAAGTTCGCAAAACTGGTGAACGATGATCTCGGAATTGCTGCGACGGATCAAAACGATCCRCACCATTGCTACATGCAATAGCATCAACTTACTCCTCATGCGTCAAACAACCAGTACAACGCTTATTCTTTGCCCTCACCGCCATCCTTAACTACAAACTATACGCTGGCGATGCTAAAGACGCATTTGCTCATTCGCCACCTCCCAAAGTCCCTACCTTTGTTGCTATCGATGGTCAATATGCTGACTGGTATAAATGGAAATTTAATGAGGATCTCAACCCAACACACGTTCTCCCTGTACAACACGCTCTTCAAGGTCACCCTGAATCCGGTCGCCTCTGGGAAGAACATATCAACAAAATTCTTTTCTCAAAAGAATTACGATTCACGACGACGACGCACAACAAATGTATCTATCAAACAACGTACAAAGACACAAAGATACTTATGTTACGTCAGGTCGATGACTTCCTTATMTCATCTCCAAATGCCACCCTTGCAAATGAAATCTACGACATTATTGGCAAGAAACTCCAACTACCAAAAGAAAAGAATATCCCTTTCAAGAATTTAGGACTTGCCACATCATATAATGGAGTCGATATCAAACAAACTAAACACTACATTGAAATTTCTTGTGAAGACTATATCGACCGTGTYGCACGTTCCCATGGATGGACGACACCTAAAGATGAATTACTCAGTCATCCAACTGCCCCTCTCCCTGAAAAGGCATTGGACAAAATCTTCGATGAAGACGGCCCCCCTGAAGGATCGCCAGAACACAAGAAACTCAAGGAACTACATGGGTTCCCCTACCGCACACTACTTGGCGAAATCTTGTAYGCCTACAACGTATGTCGACCTGATATTGGTTTTGCTGTTTCAACCATGTCCAAATTCTTGTTAGCACCATCTGATTTACATTTTAAATACCTCAAAGGTGTCGCTCTATACTTACGACGAACCAAAACATGGGGACTACGATACCGCAAAACAAACATCCTTAAAGACGACGAAATCCCTGATGGCACGTTTACCAAACCCCCAACTCCCTTGCCAGATAATCTTCCCCTGTTTCCGTCGCTTCCTACCAATGCAACCATTACATGTCTCGTTGACGCTGCATATGCAAACATAAAACCAAAACGAAAATCRACMACAGGTCTCGTTGTCATGTTAGCCAATGCCGCCATTGTCTATAAATCCAAAACACAATCTCAAACTGCGCAAAGCTCCACCGAAGCAGAATTCTATGCTGCCGTTTCTGCTGCCAAGATTGTGTTCTACCTCAGATCTATTCTTGCTGACCTGGGCTTCCCACAGAAAAATCCAACTACGCTATACAAAGACAACGACTCTACCATCAAAATTGTGAATTCCGGTGTCCTGACGGAACGCTCGCGACATATCGACATTCCCTATTTTGCAATTCAAGATTGGAAACAAGATCTCTACATCAAGATGAAGTTCATAAGCGGCAAAATCAACCCCGCTGACGCGCTTACAAAGCCTCTTGGATGGGTCCTCCACAATTGACACGTACGCCGACTCTTCGGCCATTTTACAATTCCACATTGACAATGATATCCTCCTCCCTCGTCATTTTTTGGCTATGATCTGCTCACTTTACACATCACAGATCACGGGAGGGTGTTGTC